TAGTGTATAGAAATGTAAGATTATTGTATGTTGATTTCGTATCCTGCAGTTTTACTGTTACAATGTGTGGATATAATATTTACATATATTAGAATCCTGCAAGGTAATGTGATTTTTTCCTTTAAAAATTTGTGTACTTGTTTTTAAGAGGGAAAAAGAGTTGTGTATGTTTAGTCATAGATATTTACTCTTCCCAGTGCTCTTTCATGTGATACATACAGTTGACCTTCGCATAACACAAGTGTTAATAGTACAGGTCTACTTATATGTGGAATCTTTTTCAATAAATATGTTGAAAGGTTTTGGGAGATTTGTGACAATTTGGAACACTGTCTTTAGCTTGCTGTATTGTAAGAATATAACATAATACAACATCCAAATATATGTTAATCAACTGTTCTTGGTTACGCTTGCAGCCAACAGTAGGCTGTTAGTCAAGTATTGCAGGAGTGAAGAGTTAATGTAGATTTGTGGGGGGTGGAAAGAGAAGCTGGGTCTGTTCCCCCAAGCCCCACAACTGTTCAAAGGTCAACTGTAATTCATTCCAAAGAGTGTAATTTCCCTTCAGCCTCAAGAACTGCTTTTAACATTTTGATGACTGGCTGGTGATGAATTCTTAGTTTTCTTTTTTCAGAAATCAATTTTATTTTCATGCTAAAGGATATTTTGACTATATGGTCTTGATTAGTCCTGTTTCCATGTGTTTCCTCTTTCAATGAGGAGGATTTGGGATTGGTTGACTCTTCTTTCAGTGCTGTGCAAATACTATTCTGCTCTGATGGCCTCTGTACTTCTGGATAGGAGGTCAGTGATGGTTCAGATTGTATTACATCATTTTTCTGGAATTGCTTTCAAGATTGTTCCTTTATACTGGTTTGCAGCAGCCTGATATTTTACCTAGAAGTGGTTTTCTTCATATTGTACTGCTTGGCTTTCTCTGAATCACTAAACTTATGCCACTCAACCAAATTTAGGGAAATTTTGGCCATCAGATATTTTTCTCTACCCTGTTTTTCTCAGGACCCTTAATTACATGTGATAGACTTTCTGATACTATCCCACAGGTCTTGGATTCATTTTCTTTGTAATAGCTACCTTGAAATACTTGCCATCTTGAAGTTGGCCTCTGGGTCACATTTTCTACATTTCCTAAGGTTCATCTGTCAAGCACTGATGTTTTTGTTCTCAAAGACAGGTAAATCATCTAGACTCACACTCTTGGGCAGCAGTTCAAACCTCAGTTGGGTTCTCTGATCCTTAGCTGAGCTGCCACACTGACGGGCGGATCAGAGAGTTGGGCAGTCAGTACACAGCGTCTGGCTGCCCCCTCGCAGGCCCTTGTCCTTGTGGGCATACTCCTTACTTGCCGTGGCTAATTTTCTCCAACTCTTGTCTTTCCGTTCTTCAGGCTAGAAAGACATGGATTTTCCACTGGAGTTTAGCTACCCTGTGTAGACTCTGGCTTGCTCTAGGCTAAAAGTTATTTTTTTTCTTTTTTTTAAAAAAAGCTCTTTTTTTCCAGTTCTTACAGGTGTCTGATGTCTCAATTCTTCTTTTGTTCATACTCAGTGCTTTTAGGTCTTTGTGTTTCTAGTTATGTATAGGAGGCTCGGGTCTGGTGAAACTTACTTGGTTGCACTAAAAAGGACTTGCGCGTTACCTTTCTTAATGGTTCTTTAAGTTGTGTATTAACTCCTGAAGGCTGGGTATTTTCTGGCTTGGCCATTTTTGCCCCGTGTGCGTCCAGCAGAGGGCAGAAGTGAGCAGGGAGTGAGCTCTGCCGGACTTGTCCCAAAGGCCTTGCTGCTGTTTGGGTAGAGATCAGTCAGATAAGAGTTTCATGGGAAATTGTAAAAGCACACTCATGGTACAGGTTTTCTGGTGACAGTTCTTCATGAGAGGCCCAGGCCAGGTGTCACACAGAGCTCCTGGGTCTACCTGGGACTGTCAGAGAAAGCAGTGGGAGTGGCCCTGGCCCCTGGGGCTGAAGGGACCGACAGGGATGCAGACTGGAGTCATGTCTGTGGGGCTTTGGGGAGGCTCCTGTGTGGTGTGGGGGGCACTGTGGGTGCTGAGAGCAGAGGGAGTGGAGGCTTTGTGCCTGCTCACCTGACGGGGCTGGGCAGAGGAACCATTATCTTGAGAGTGGAGACAAGAGAATGATTTCCAGGACCCGGTAAGTCCAGCATCCAGCAGATACCTGCTCAGAACCCTGGAAGGTCTGGGGCACATACATCCGCTCAAACCCACTCCCCGGCCGCCTTGCCAGCACTAGACCTGGTAGGACTAGGCACCCAGGCAAGCGCTGGGGCTCCTGTGCTGCCTGCAGGTCTTCGCCATGGGTCTCTGCCCTTCCCTCGGCAGCCACCACCGCCTGTCCCAGCTGCCCCTGGCAGCAGCTCGCCCTTCTGCTGTGATGTGAACTTCCCTCTTTGCAGCACACCAGCTGCCCTCGGGGTTCCTGGGCATCTGTACCTCTTCAACTTGGATTGTGTACAGTTATTTAAGCCAGACACCACTTGAACAAGAAGAATGGGAATTCTTTGGTGGCTGTTCTTCTCGGGAGTAGGAGTTCTTAACACAGGTGTCTGGGGGTAGAATTCAAAGACAGGGGAAAAGTTTCTTCTTGATAGCTTTTTGTAGACTATGGGCTTTTTGCACTTAAGAACACCATCCTAAGAACGGGTCTGTAGAACAGAGTTTAAGCAGCCCTGCTCCACAGGCTGGGGCCCCAGAAAACTGGAATGGATTCCCTAACTTCAGGCAGCTGCTGAAATTCCCAGCTTCCCCTGGACTCCAGAGTCTGGCTTCCTGTGGCCACCTGGACAACACTGCTGACCCCGAGGAGCGGTCAGGCTGCGATCACAGGCTCAGACCAGGGCAGAGTCCGTGCATCAAGCAGAACGCTGTCCACCTTTGACACAGCATCCCAGCCCCTCTGAGTCCCCTCATTCTCGTAGGGCAGGCCCGGCTGGCATCATGGGCAGAGATGGAGGCAATGGCACGTCTGGACTCCAGATTCTCCCATCATCTGCTTTTTTTCTGCTTTTCAGGAAAAAAGCTTGTAAATACTTCGAGCAAGGCAGGGGGACCTGCCCTTTTGGAAGCAAGTGTCTTTACCGCCATGCTTACCCTGACGGGCGGCTGGCAGAGCCCGAGAAGCCTCGCAAGCAGCTCAGTGCTGAGGGCACCGTGAGGGTAAGGACTCAGCTGCCAGGACGCCCTCCTCTAACAGTTCTGGTGGCAGGGGAGGGGGGAGGTGAGAGAAGTCAGCCACCAGCTTAGGGGGTGTCTGCTGGCTCTCTTTTGCAGTTCTTCAATTCAGTGCGGCTCTGGGATTTCATCGAGAATCGAGAAAGCCAGCATGTCCCCAACACTGAAGGTGCTGACATGACAGAGCTTGGGGACCTCTTCATGCACCTGTCTGGAGTGGAGCCACCAGCGCCCTAGGAGTGGGTGGCCTTCCGCAGGCCCAGGTTGCAGAGCTTCCTGTACTGTGTCCTCCGGCCTGGCCCTTGGATTTGGGTGAGGTTGTACTTAACCTTGGTCTCACTCACTCCCCATTATTACAGCCACAGGAGGAGTGACGGATATAAAATAACCTGATGAGTGTATGGGATTGCTGCTGTACAGTCCATCTTTAGGTTAACCACCAGCACCTCACCTTTTGAGCTCCCTAGAAAGTCGGCCTGCAACTGCCCCTATGGTAGCAGATTCATTTTTCCTACCAAAGGATTATTTATAGTGAGTTTTCCCTGGTATCCTTAGGTAGCATGTGGGCAGAAACTTGATTTATACAGAGCTTTTAAACACTACTCGGTGTGTGTCTGCCTTCGGAGCAGAGCAGGGCCCTGGTGCCGTGTTCAGTGTAACCTGTGTAAGGGGGGATTGGAGTAACGGGCCATGTGGCCCCTGCTCCCACCATTCTCCGCAAATTTGAAATTTCATAAACGTGTAACAGCACCCAGGACAGTCTGGTTCTTAGCTGGCAGTGGTCCTGAGAGAACTGAGCACCAGTCTGTTGTCATCAGTTGTGATTTTAATTGACGGAGCATAACCTTGTGGCTCAAAACTCCAATCCTATTTTTTATAAACAGCTGTAGATACCAAATATTTTGTAAAGTGCATTAAAGTGTAGGTAGAAAAAAGGCCTACTCTTGCTTGAGTTGAGTGCTTTTGCATGCTTATAGTTACCTCCATTCCCAGTGGAGGCTCTGGGCCCATTTCTTCCTGCTTGAGAGGGATGAACAAGGTGAGCTCAGTATTACTCTTAAGAAATGGCCATTAAACCTACATTTAATTTATTTTATTAAAATAACATAATTGAGGAACCATCAAATAACTGTTTTGTCAGGCACAATAAAAACAAAATTTAAACCCAAATCATCAAGAAAACCTGTATTCCTGGCTTCCTTGCATACACATGGTGTGACGGTAAGACAAGGCTGGCCTGGCCCAGAGGGGCAGCTCCTGGAAGACTGGATGGGCACAGCAGAGAGGCTGCTCCCTGAGAGCCCGGGCGGGGGGGGGGGGGGGGGGGGGCGGGGCCGGCCGGGGGNGGGGGGGGGGCGGGCCAGGCACTGCCTAGGGAAACCTTCCTGGGGCACTGGAGCCCTCAGAGAGGGGTGTGCCGTCTCAACAGCCCCTGTGTGGGTACATTATGTGCAAAACTGTCTGGTGCCACCCCACTCTCTGAAGGAAAGGTCTTCCTGTGATAAGCAGTCCTCAAGGGAGCACATGTCCGAGCATCAAGGCTGGTTTGCCTACCTTAATGTCCCTTACGAATGTTTCTCTTGCCCTAAAAATACTCACTTAGCCAGTAGCTGGGGCCCCAGATCCTGTGCTGCCATGCACAGCCACTGGAGAAGGCTCGGTTCTTGAGTGCCGGAGGCCCCAGGGAGGAAGGAAGACAAACCAGTGTTGTGAATGGCTTCTTTCTCACAGGGCCAGAAAGGGTATGAAGGCAACATGAAGTTAAGGCCCTGTGAGTGGTCTGCAAGGTCCTTAGCAGCAGCTGCTCTGAAAACAAGCTCTCTGCCCCATAGAAGGAGCAGAAAGGCAGTGCCTGCCAACTTCCCTTCCTCCCTGGTGCCAAGTGCAGGTGCGAAGTCAGAAGATAGGCAGCCTTGGGGACGTGGTCAGCGTGCAGGCATTGATGTCCTCGGTGTGGGCAGCCCGATGCAGGGATGGCTCAGAAGCACTCCGGTTGATTTTCGGTAGAGAGTGTTGGAGCAGCTCGATGGATGACAGGATCTGAAACAAGGCCACAGAAAGGGCTCATCAGATGGCCTTGGTGTTTCCACAGTAGCTTCCAATCAGGTGTCCAAAGACCCAGGCTTTTGGCCCGCTCCCCCCCTTAGTTCCATCAGTAGCACCCCTGCTCAGTCTTACCTGGGGAAAAAGAGGCCTCTCTTCCTTGACTTTCTTCACACAGTCAGCTACGAGCCTCTTCATTGCTTTGGGGCAGTTCTTGTAGAGCTTGCTGAGGTCTGGGGAGGCATACCCCCGGCCCACCATGAAGATGATCTACGGGAAGGGAAACGGGTGAGAGAATGGGCAGGTGAGTCAAAAAGCAGCATCTCCAACCCTCCTGTTGCTCAGACTTGGAGGAGGCCCAGAACCTCCCCACGCCGGTACATTCTCTGTGCAGCTCACATACCTGATCACGGTTGTTGATGTGGGAGTACGGAAGCTCCCCTGTCATGAGCTCATACAGGACAATGCCATAGGAGTAGACGTCAGACTGGAAGCTGAACGGGTTATTGTCCTGCATTCGGATCACCTCTGGGGCCTACAGGCACAGCATATTCATCACCATCCGGGCCCCAGACTTCCCGGCCAGGCTGTCCTTTCTACTGGGTTAGGAAAGGCCATTCCTCAGCTTTCTGTCTCCTCCCCAAAGGGCTCCAACTCCTAGCCTGCAATCCAGCACTTCCTTCACTAGCTCCCCCAAGCTACGCTGGTCTCCAGGAAACCCACGTGTGCCCCTAGCTGTCTGACTTCACAACAGAGGTGCCACTGAAGTGGTCTGGACTTCAGGGAAGTGGAGAGAAATGCTTTCTGTTTGCACCAAGGCCTGCTGCTGCCTGGCACCCTTACCATCCATAGGATGGAGCCAGTGGGTTGTTCAACTTGCTGAGACCCACTCCAGCGTGACTTCACTGTTGCCAAACCAAAGTCTCCAATTTTCACCGTCAGGCCCTCATGGAGAAATATATCTCAATGCCTGTTAAGGAATCTGGTTTTAAAAGAACAGTCAAATCATTGCAAAAAATTTTCCGAAATTCTTAACTAGCACAGCATCTCTCTGCCTCCCATCTGGCTAGCCTTCTCCCAGTGATTGGCTAGGGTTTTGGAGATCTTAAAAATTAGTTCTGAAACACCCCTAAGGTGCCAGATTATTTGGCTCCAGCCAAAAACAAGGCAGTTTTCTCCATTGCTTCTCCCCATTGACAAATCTAGCTGCCAGGTTCAGGTTCCCTAGCCTTGTGACCCTCCCATATAAGGTCAGTGCCTTAAACCCCAGGACTTCCGAGAGCACAGGCTGCCCTCCTATGCTCCCCAGAGCCTAACATGGCCTGAGCACTTATCTTAGTTTCTGCCTGCATTCTGCTGTCAAGTAACTAAAACATGAATAACAAAATGGCAAATCTTTGCTAAGCACTGACTGCTGTCCTAAGGCATTTCTCACCAGAAAGTATCACTTGGTAGATTTTAAAAATCTACCCAGAAGTGAGCTGAGTTTGGTTAAGATGCTGCTGGGGCAATTTACAGCCAACTTGTGATGTGCTGACACCAAGGGATTCACCCTTCCTTAAAAATCTGTGGTGTCTGCTTTCATGGTCTAATGTGCCGTCCCCAAAACCCACCACTGAAGGGTATTCCATGCCTACAGACAGGTGCCCAGACTGGGCCATGCCCCGCAACCCCACTCAGCACAGCCCTCACACCTCCCTCACTAACCCAGAAGCAAAGTTCTGTTTCAGGAGAGAAAGGCTGGGGGGGAGGCATTTGTAAAATTGTTAACATTTCATGCCCCACAGTATGAGAAATACCTCCATTCCCCTTCTATAAAAACACATTAAGCCTAAAACACATTAAGCCTTGTGAAGGGGAAAGGTTGATTCCAACAGTGGCCTCTACGGAAACCACTTCTGTACATTCGAGAGACAATTTTAAGTAGCAGTTTTGAAAATCTTGCAACATTTGACTTGTAGCTACACACACTGTCTACAAACTAGAAATAAACATTAAAGACAAAGCCCCATCCCAAGTTAACTTTAAAACCAGGCCTCTTTCAAGCATAAGTCGAACACATTATCTCAACTAACTCTTGTGTTTGGAAAGCTTTCCAAAGTCACTTTTGCGAAGATAAACTTACAAAGTCTCCCTTCTGTGTCCTAAATTTAGAATTGAACAAATGAAATCACCACCAAAGGATACTGTTGGATTTCATGTCTCTGTGGATGATATTCTTTGCATGCAAATAGCTGGGAAGGGAAAATAAATCTATTAAAAGCAGTTGAGCACCATGGGTAGAAAGCAGCTTCAAACTACAGCAAAGTAAACCACGGGGAGGCCTGGCTCCCAGTGAGGAGTCCACCTTTGGGGGTTGGCCCTGCACCTGTTCAGGCCAGGCCACACCACCTGGCACTTACCTGACAGTGAAGCACAGCACAAATTGGGCAACTCTTTAAAAATCAGTTTTACTCAGAGTGTTCTGCCAATCTGACTGTCTGCTGACTGGCGAATGAATAAATAAAATGCTGCATATCCCCATGATGGAATATTATGCAGCCATAGACAATGTGAGGTACCCACAGTGCTACAACACACATGAACCTCTAAAGATACCGTTAAGTGAAAGAAGCTAGACACAAAAAGTCTCACCTTAAACCTCAAACCTCAAAGTGTTCTGGACTGGTGAGGGGTGCACAACTCAGAACAGACTAAGAACCACTGAACTGTATACTTTAAAGGAGTGAATTTTGTGGTATGTTAATTACAACTCGTTTTTTCTATAATAGTTCCTAAAAACTGGTCATTTCTCAAAATGTATCAAATGTAATTTCCATATGAATTTTAAAGGTTGACATGAGATTTTATGTAGCACTTGCAAGCACCACTTTAACCTTAAGCTCCCAGATATGTGGAGGCTGGGGAGGTCCTGCTGCTCCCAGCAGGGGCCCTTCAGAGGACACTGGTGCAGCCCTGCCCTGGGCTGGCCTTGAAGGGAAAGAAAGGGACAAACACACCCCCTTCACAGAGACAGCTGCCCCAAAGCTGAGACCCAAAGGTAGCATCTGATAGACACCCTTCACACATTCACCGAAAGGAAAGTAAGTTGCCCAGTGTCATCTGATCATCTCTGCCCTCGCCAATGGGCAGTGCTGCGTTCATGGGTGTCTGGCTGAACTTTTGAAGGCAGTGGCTGGAACCTGCATCTGGGCCCCATGCGGGCAGTGAGCTTAGGTAAGAGACCTGAATTTCTCATTCCTTCAGCCCGCCCCTGAGGTTCATTTCAGCTTGTGCAAAAGTATCACAGAAATCGTGTAACAGACTTGGCTCTTGTGCAGCCTAGCTCTGGTAGAGGGACAAGTTGATGCCAGGACTCCAGCCTTTCTAGGGCCCGTGTACTCACTCCATTCCCTGAGCTGTCTGCCGGGCAATGTCAATCAACTGGAACATCTGGAACTTTGTCTCCTGGACATGCAGGTGTTTGTAGAGACTGCTGCCTTCACACCACTGGGTCACAATCGCCAGGTTGTCCTTTGTCATGTACCCCATGAAGAGGAGGATGTTCACATGCCGTGTTTTGCTGAAGAGGGGGAGAGAGAGAAGGCTCTGAACCTTCTGCTGCTGCAGAGTAGGGTGATCGGCTCTGCTTCCTGCTGACACCACAGGGTGTGTGTCCTTCACACCCCCCGTGCTCACAATCCGGGAGGCCTGCAGAGCACACTGGGACTGCTGCTGCTCAGCTGGTGTTCTGAGGTGACAGGAGCCCAGCATTAATGAGTGCTGGCCTCAGGTGTGGAGAAGCCAGTCCTCAGTGCTCGCTCACAATCTCCTCCCCTACAGGGGTCAGATTTGTAGGTAGGAGGCCTGAATTTCTCGTTCCTAGGGACTCCCATCGCTGTTAACTTCCTCCAAGTCATTAGTGGCTCAGATTTGAAAGCCTGGTTTTGAAGTCTAGAATAAGGCAGTGTGCCTATAGCAAGAGTTCTTGGAAATAAATGTGAGAACAGAACCTATTTCTCCCTACCTCAGACCAAAACCCAGAGACAGAACCTGAGCTATTCAGTGTAGTGCATCCTGAGAAGTAAAGGAGGTATGATCGTCAAAGGGGCTCCTGTAAAGGTTGGGCAATGCGGGGCTGGACAGGCCAGCTCTCTACTCACCGCAGGACAGCCACCTCGTTCCTAAAGGCCTGGAACTGTTCTGGTGTGGGGTCGACAACCTTTAGGATCTTTACTGCAACATCTCCTGCAAATTAGTTTGTAGTCAGTGCAATCAGTTCAAGATCTTGCTTTGTTGTTTTTCATATACTCTAGATACAGGGACTTTAATCAACTTATATACCTACACAGGGGGAACAATACATGCAAACTTACAAGCCTGGCACTCCTAGCCACGAGGACACATGTGACAGGTCACAGCCTGGGCCTGTGAGGCAGACAGGAATGGCCCAAGAGATACTTAACCTCTAGGGCCAGAAGGCTGGTGCCAGGAAGCAGCCTGTTTAGCAAGCAGCTGGTGTTAAAGTCAACAGGCACATTTTAAGACCTGAGGTGGTCCCTTATACAAAGTCAAAGATGTAAACTGAAATTAAGCTTCTTTGCTTTTCAGTGCCACTAAAAAGTAACCCTAATGACTCATACTGCCTGCCTACTCAGCCCTAGCAGTGTGTGCACTTTTACAGGCACTACCTCTGTTAATCCTCCTAGTTGCCCTATGACGTAAGTACTGTTCTCCAACTTCATTTTACAGGCAACAGAGCGGCTCAGTCACTTGCCCAAGGTCATAGAGCCAAAGAACCAAAGTGCTGGAACCAGGCCCTGAGCTCCAGGCTGACCCAGGCGCTGTACTGCCAACTAGAATTGACCCTGGAACAATGTGGGCTTACACTGCATGGGTCCCACTTACATGCGGATGTTTTTATCAATAAATACACTGGAAAATCTTTTGGAGATACACAACAATCTTTGAAAAACCTTATTCTTTTCTCTAGCTTAAGGAGACAGTATGTAATACATATGACATATAAAATGTGTGTTGATCAACTGTGTTATTGGCTTCCAGTCAATAGTAGACCACTAGTGGAGGTTTTAGAGTCAAAAATTATAAGCAGATTTTTTATTGCATGGGTTGGTCAGCACCGTTGACCCCCAAGTCATTGAACGGTCAACTGGACAGTACTGAAACCTGTCAATCACTGTGAGCTCCTTTATCTAACCTTAGAAACATCCAGAGATTTAATTCTACCTTATATGTGTGAGGTAGATTGACTTAGAAGCCACTTTCACAAGTTTTTATGTCATACTTACAATAGTGATCATAATAAATTAATTGAAGTCCTATTAAGACCTCAGGTTCTCATGGCAAATGAGTTTACTGAGACCGCATTCCTTTGACCAAACATGTGGAGGGCGCCTTGGAGGCGGTTCTCAGTTCCTCTGCACACCAAGCCGCTCCACTGGGGCATTCATTCCTCATTCCACTTCTGAGGAACACCAGCCGGCAGGGGTGGTTCTTAACAACAGATTCCAGACTGGTTCTCATCCAGATGGCCAGCACATGCTTTCTTCCCCAGGGACGCCAGTAAAGTGCCCCCACCAGATTCGAGAGAGGCCACCCACCCAGGAACAAGGGCTGGGAAACCACCCAGCCCAGGACTCAGGTACTCAGGACTGAGTGGGAAGACGGTCTTTTGCATAACCATGAATTCTGGAGCAGTCTGAACCAGACAGGAGTGCGGGCCTGGTAAATGTCTTTGCAGAGAGGATGTAGAAAGTTTTTCTTAAGGAAATGACATGTAAGCCAAGGGAAGGATTTTACTAGCCAGGAGAGGCTATTCCAAACTAGGTACACCAAGAGCAAAGGTGAGGCACGAGGGGTGGCCTGGGACACACCAGCATGTGATGGGGACACCTGCAAGATGGAGGGGCCGGGGAATGGAAAGAGGGAAAGGAGGCAAACCCTCAAGGTGACCAGATTCAATGTTGCAGTCAACTGAGTGGCAGGACCAGAAGATGACAATGGTGGGCAGGCTGTCAAAGGGCCTCAGAAGGGGCTGCTGCTCAGGACTCCCTAGTTCACGAGGAACCCTTTCCTCTCCTCACAGCTCTCCTGAGCATGCACTTGTGTCATTAGTGTGGAGACCTGATCAGTAGTGCAACTTCAGGACTCCCCTGACCCTGTAGTCAGCCGATCACTATCCCCCTCTAGCCTCTCTTTTTTTGGAATGGTAAACAGGACTTGCCCTTGCTAAATAGGCTCCTTTTTCTTTGTTCCATCATCACAGCCACTCGAATCCTCCCATCTTTCTGAATCCTGTTACCCAAGTCTGTATTACACCTCTGTGCTAAGTCATCCACAATGCCCGAGTTTTCCTGCAAGGCACCAAAGGGAGGACTGACTGAGCAGGGCCACACCAACTCGGGAATCTGATGGCGCCAGCAGGGCCCCACCCGCCAGCCAGCTCACTGGCAGCAGTAACAGTAACAGATTTCCTGCATTTCTTCCAGAAGCCCACAGACTAGACCCCATACCACAGGGAACAGCTCCCCAGCACTCCAGTGCTCAGGCCAAGGCTCAATCATTCAGAACTACTCACTGCTCCACCTCCTGTAATTACTAGGAACCTTGTTTCAGATACAAGCACTCTATCCCACAAAATTGTGTCCTTTTCTAAGAGATCAGTGAGACATTTAAGACCTCTATTTGGAAAATATTCTGCAATAGTGTAATCTGTCAGTGACCAGGAAGGCCAATAGTACATTAGATGCAATTTTCAAAGAAAAAGGAATCATCCTCTACGTAATTTACAAATGCCCAGCCCTATGCCTTTCTCCTTAAAGAAGCAGAAATTTGTCAGTTGATTAATGGCAAACCCATGTGTTAAAGCGCACAGAAAATTGGAGGTGTTTCTCAGTTTTTAATACTTTGAATTTTGATGCTCCATTCATTTAATGCTCTTAACTTCTCAATTTTTTGCTCCTTTATGTTAAAAATAAATAAGGTGGCTTCCAACAGAAATAAAGGCACCTAAGAACTTTTGGATTTTTTTTCTTTATTAAAATCTGAATTTAGAAGAGATTCTTTTTGGAACATGTAGCATTTTCTAGAAAATAGTCCCTATATTTGTTAGCTTCCTAAAGCCAGAGGTATTACAAACTTGACAGAAAAATGTTAATTATGTTGCCAAAATACACAAGCTGGGGCTATACACATTAAAATAGTCTGTTTCTCCAAATGACAAAGTGTTTCCATTAAAATAAGAACACTAACACTCCACACCAATTAAAGAATTAAGTCTGCGTTCCCTGCTGGATGGCTGGCGATTCCCACCCCTGGGTCCCAGGGCAGAGCAAAGAGCTTGTTTCAGGAGGCTCCTGGCTTTCCTCTGCCCAAGTGTGACCACAGGCATGTTAGGTCTCCTCCTGGGACCTCAGCTTTCTTGCCTGCAAAATCTCTAAGGTCCCTTCTGGCTTTAAGTTTCTAGAATCACGCTCCCCTCCGAGCAGCAGATTCTTGTTCATTCAAGGAGCTTTTGAGCATGTCCCACGGGCAAGCTGTATTTAATCAGTTTATAAGAAGATACCCTGACGTTTGACTATAAGACAACTCTGTTCACCAATTTCTTATTATCCTGGAAACCTTGTCATACCACTTACAGCATCAAGTCTAAGGAGACAGCTGCATTCCGTGGAGATCATAGTAAGCACTGTGTTCAGGTGTAATTAGGTGTCTCTTGGGGGATGCTGCTCTGACTGCGGAGCACACGCGTCCCCCCTTCTCCTGCCCTCTCTGGACTGAAACTGGACTTCACCCTGGGCTCTGCGACAAAAGGGAGGGCCCCAAACTTACCATGCCACTTGCCCTTATAAACAGTTCCAAAGGAGCCTGACCCGATCCGAGTGGACAGCATCACTTCACTGGCTTCTATTTCCCAGTAATAGCTGGAGTCTCTCTGCCCACGAGGCCTCTGAAAGAGGTAGAGATCATTACCATGCTCCAGGGAAGGGTAAAGGCCTGTTTAATGAGGGTGTCTAAGAAAAGATCAACCCAGCGCCATCTATTCCCATATCTTTAAAAAGACATAGTAACTATAATACTAATTTTTGTCTTTGAGAAAATGCCTTACAACAAAACCAGCAAGTTCCCCAATGTTAAGTGTACCAAAAATGGCACTGGTGCTATTATCCTTCATTAAATGTTTCCTATTAGAACTCTCCTACCCCAAATTCCAAAGTATTCTCATTCCAACAAGGCTTTTCTTACTGAGCTTTAACCTGCAGGAGAAGCAAAATTTGCCATACTCACAATTTTATTTTTCTCCTGGGCCCCGGATCCCGGCGCCCGCTCTCTCTGTGCTGGCATGGGGGTTTTGGGCTGTGACCAGCCCGTTGGGCTCAGATTGTTGGGGCTGCTGGACAAGGCTGAAGGTGAAGCTTAATAGACAAGAAAAACAGAATCCACACAAGGATAAGCCAACAGAAGATACACAGCATAAAGAGAAAAAGACCATTACAATCTAAGTGACTGTGGACAAGTACCTGATTCACTGTGACTTCGAATTGCATCCTGAAACAGAAAAGGAAGGCCAGTCAATTGCTGCTCTGGAAAAGCCATCCTCTGGGGGAAAAGGGTGAAAGTGGGGGGTGGGGGTGGGGGTGGAATTTGCAAGGACACAGATTTTAAGACCTCTAAATACAAAAGGTTCAATTACATATCTCTCTGATTAAATTCACCAAATGTCAGTGGCCACTATCCCCCCAAGATTGTTATCATCAATTATTAGGAAGACTGAGGTTAATCTCTCACATACAATGGAAACCCCATTCTTTTTCTAAGAAAGCAATGTGCACAGCAAACTGATACTCTTTAAGGAAGGCCAGCAAAGTTACTGTCAGCTGAGATTTTGAGCGACTTGGGACCTTCCTCCAGTGAGGCTCAAAAAATAAAAATCAACTGGGGTCTGTATGGCAGGCTCACTTACTCCTGCAAGAGTTTAGGGCACAGTGACCAGAAGTTGGATTTGATAAGGGCAAGCACCATGACTACCTATTTTATCCAGGCCTGAAATCACGGAAGGCTGGAGGGACCATAAATCCCCTAGACAGAAACCCACATTCCACATATAAGGAAACACACTGGAATAGGTAGAGCTTTGGCAGCGTCACACAGCCAGGAGGTAAAAGAAACAGAACCAGAAACCTTCACCAATGGATCCCTGCCCTGGGCTCATTCCCCACAAAATGCTCCTCACACCTTATAGGTAAATTCTGAAATTAGTTACATTCTACTCAGGTAAGAAGTCAAAGGGATACCTTTACGATTTATTAGAAACTGTTTCAGTGGAACAGTTTGGACCATAGGGCCTTCATGAGACCTAAATGCTCATTTTATAAATCTTCAGAGTATGTAAACAATAATAGTAATAATATAAATATAATAATAATAATAATATAAAACCACTTGGCCCCATAGCCTCAAAAAGGATATTTTTCTAGGAAGTCCTACTCTGTGTTCTTTGTGTAAAGACACTTTTTTCACACAACTACCACTGGAATGCTCTCACTCCAGGACATCTGTATAAGATAACAAGCATCCTATACCAGGCTGCCCCTCCCCACACTGGCAGCCCCACCCAGGCATCTTCGGAGTTTACTAATATAAAGCCTGGTTCTGGGGTTCCCAAATCTGGCCAGTGTTCAGAAGAATCATCTGGAGACATATTTAAGAATAAAGGTTCCCAACCCTCACCCCTCCCTAACTGACAAGGCTTCTCAGAGAGGGAAGATGGGAAGCCCAGAAATCTGTTTTTAAGTAAGAAAGGATGACTGCCAGGGGCAAAATACTGGCCCAAAATCCTGAATTTCCATAGATTATTAAGCAGCTGTAGCTTTATTGTCCAACCAATCTATTCTTTGTTTTTAGTCAAAGCATGCCCACAATATGTTTTTACTGGCCAGAATTATATGCCCACGAACTAGGAATTTTTCTTAATGTCATAGTAATTTTCTTCTCTATATCCATTATATACCAAATATCTTATTCTGCACTAATTTCTACAGTTGAATTGACTTATCCTAGAAGGAACTTTTCAATCATCTTGGATTTGAAAAGAACTATAAATGGTTTAAACAAAGCAAGAACATGTACTTTTAAAATGTTTAGTCATGTCATTTAAAAAAGGAATCAAAACTTGCTCTGCCTCTTAAGTGCACAGAGAATTAAGCACAACAGTAGTGCTAATTATTTTATAAGAATTCAAGAATTTTCACTTCTAATGTTCCCTCTAATGGAGTGTTTACACAAGGACAAATAATGTAATAGAAGAAAAGTAACTGGTATATCATTGTGTTATTATCAGGGCTAGTCAAGGTAAAACTGAAATAAAATTCACAGTTGGCATACACAGGATGCCCTCACAATAATCTTGTGGTAGTCAAAATGCCCTGCAAAATACCAGTTCTGGCCCCACATTTGGAAGCCAACATTTTTTGGTGAGGCCCTCCACCTCTGACTGGTAAGGCAAGCATGTCTGATGGCTGGAGGTGAGTGGGGTGAGGCTGTGCCTGAGGGCCGGGCATCCCTGAGGTGTTAAAGGAACACGTCATGCAGAGAGAGCACAGCTGTTTCTATTAAGTTTTTAACAAAGGATTTTCAGGGCACATCAACCATACCTATACACCTCATTTAGAAGCCAACTGTAAGTAGAAAAGAGATACTATGAGTGCTAACTAAATAAACCCAACATTAGTCTTTGGTTGGAACTGATATTTTTTAATTTTTAGTGCACTTGGCCTTAAAATCTCAATGAGAAACCTCCTTCATCTATCAACAATACCACATTTAGCATGTATATTTTTTACTCCTCTACTGCCATGAAAGAAAACAGGAAAACAAATCTGACAAGAAATATAAAAGGTATCTCGGTGTATGTTTCATGTTGATAATTTGCTATCTGACAGTTTTAGCAATCCTGTTAAATCTACAAGAAAGCAAAGGCAGGAAGAAGGATACCTACTCTTCCCCTCAAACAAAATCGTCTGGACCACGCCCTGGGAGAAGCATTCAGGCTGTTATTCTAGTCCAAAGCAACAAGAAATAAAGAATAATAAAGAACAAGGAAGAATTTTATGTGCATTCAGTTGTTATTAAACTGGAAACTAGAAAGTAAACCAAATAAACAGGACATATTGAAAAGCCAAGAAAAGAAAAAGCAGTTTGAAAACTCCTGCTCTGGGCACTTTTACATCTCCCTAAACACCTACTTATTAAAATTCAGTGACTCCACCCTTGTATTTCTAAAAATTACTGAAGTCTTTCAGAGATTTTGTATTTCTCCATCACTATTTTCTTTCTTTCCCACACCAAAACCAAACTACTCTATGTATTTTATTCTTAACCTCACCAAAATCCTATTCAAATCTCATATGGAAAAAATGAGTTCAAAAGCTAACATTTCTTCAGGAAATTTCAGTTCTGCACTTGAATGATATACCAACCAGATTATTCGGCCAGTCTAAAGAAGAAGTGGATAAAAAAATTCAGGAAGTCCAGAGACCTCAGAAAGCGGCAGCATTCCTGATCAGCTCTGAAACCCCCAAACTCTCTTGACAGAACATTCCACCCCCCCTAAACAACTAACTGCTACTCCTCACCACCCCCTGGGGCCCTGTTACCTCGATCATCCTACTGTCCACAGGCAGGGTTGTGCTGACCATATGGACATTGGGTGTGGATGTTGACCTCTGCCTCTGGGAAAGGGAACCTTCAGAGGAGGGACTGGAGGTGTTGAAGGTGAAGGCATGGGGTGTGGAGTATCTGTGCTGGGAACTAGGTGAGGAGGAGAAAGAAAAGTCCATGTTGACACTCAGGCCTCCCCACTGGTAAAATCAACTACCTACTTCATTAACATACTCAGAGGCAAACCCCGTTTGTACTACAACCTTTGACAAAATGTTTCAATATGCACCATTTAAACAATTTCTTCTAGGTGCTTCCATATGCAAGTTTTTGAAAAGGAAATAATATATGTGCTTGGAAATTCACATGTGAAGAATAATTATGTTTTCTCCTTTTTAATAAATCACCACTACAGAGCACGCCAATGTTTTTAGACCATCTTTGGGAAAGAACAGATCAGCATGTGCCAACCATACCTGCCAACCACCTACTAGGTGAGCTGGAACCTGCCCAGTTTAATCTAGAGACTAAATTTTATCCATTGTGCAGCCTCTTTGCTCATCATCAGCTCACAAAGTAAATTAATGTGAATTCACTGTCAGGTGGCAGTGCTTAACTGCAAACCAATCACTGGCCTCTTATGCCAACACCAGGCCCCCACCAGAGCATCATGAACCCTACTAAGTAGCACAGTTTGATTATTTGCTCTAAAGCTTACTCTCAGTGTTGTTCAAATCCAAGTTAACATCAAGCATGAGTTCAAGAGATAAAAGGCTATTTTTTTTCCTAAAAGAAATTGTCCTATTATCATGAAAAACTGCCTTCCCAGGTAATTCAGTGTTTACGCCTTCAGAGGCCTGGTTTCTTCTATGAAATATTCAAAAGTACAGTTTTTGGTCAGACATGCTTTTCAAATTATCAAGAAAAATAAAAATCATACACAAATATATATCCAGGTATCATTTCAATACAAATTACTTATTCTGAGATATGCTGCCTTTAATAATCCCAGTCCTTTTGAAAAGGTCATTAAATATTATACAACTACATATGAAACGTCAGATCTTTTAGGTTCCAAGTTCATGTGTGATACTGATTAAGCCACGAACACAACAAAGCTCTGACTTTAAAGCTGAAAAACAAAGATAAGCTGTGTGCAAACTCAGAGCACATCAGAAAGGATATTTACATTTAAAATTGAATTAGATTTTTTAAAGATGGAGTCTGTTACCATGGTTTTCTAAATGCAAGGCCATAATAAGTATTTCAAAGTCAGAGTCTTACTTTTATTAAATCACTGTATATAGTTTTGGGATCTTCTCCCTGAGCCTTAACTCACTACACACTAAGGAAGGCAAAATCTTAACATCTTTACAGCGTGATGAGATATTAAGGGACATGCTAGGATAACAGAAGAAACTGCAATCAGAGTTATTTCCAAAATATGAGAACTATACGCCCACACAGAGAAAGTTCTACATTCTGCTCTAACACCAATATTAAGTTCCACAGAAGTAGCAGGGGCTTTACACAGAAAGGAGGGATGCAGACAACTCTTGTTTTTGTATTCAAGCTTTCGATCCCACCAGCCCCAACATAACTTTCCAAAAGAAAAGCTGTAGGTGAAAAAAAAATTACCTAACAGGCATCCGGGAAACAGACTCTCGCATCCGACGCATTGTCAAAGAAGGCAGTGCTGGGACCCCAGTATCACCAATAGTGGAATTTGGAAACAATCTAAATGAAATCAAAGAAAGACTGGTTTTACAGATGTGCAGTCATTTTATAGAGTCAGCCTGCCTTGTCCTGCAAACTTACAGCTACTCAAACACATCTTTCCCTAGTCAGTTTTCCTCAGTCATTTTGGGCCTCCCCACAATACAGAGACCCCCAATCAAAATGACTGGGTTTATGTGACTACAGAATGTGAACAACCCTGATCTGATGTGAACACACGGGCTCTAGTGTGTATTTCTCAGAAATACTCTTCCAATGACCAGCTCTACCAAATGCTTTTTAAAGCTACAGAAGGGTACTTTATAACTTAAACTACACAGAGCTTTTCTGGAAACATCCGTCTTGGAGACACATAGGTGAAAAGACTGAAATATGAAGATTACTTCAGCACCAAAAGTTAGAAGAGTAAAAGTGATACTAACATTAATTGAGCATCTTCTGTCCATGAGATGAGCTCAGCAACTTCTCAGGTTATCTTAGATAATCCTTACAAGGACACTCCAAGGAAGGTAATATCCACTTCAGGCAGATGAGAATGAAGCTCAGAGGTCATCACGGTTACTTAAGAGCAACACTAAGATTCTGAGCCATGTCTGCTGGACTCTAACGCTTATGCCACTTACGTTACACAAGCTCTCTCTGCAACAGCAACCTGTGGCTACCACCCAAGCAAAAGGGACGTTCCCACCATTGCTTAATGATGATATTCCCAGTCTTTCTAGTACCCTCAAAACCGGATATAACGTCACCTTTGACTTTCACTTTCCCAGCAACAACTTTTTAAAAGGCACTTTGGAATATGTACTTTTATTTAAGCCTTACTAAAAATATTTTGCCTACATGAAATTTTGGTAACTGATTTGTCTCCTGAGGGATAAAAGTCTTTTAAAGTTTTACATTTCTGTCAATTTAAGACTAATGCTTACTGTTTTGTCCAGTTTGAGGTGAAGAAAATTGCACCAACTTTGCTTTCTGCTCGTTCTCAATGTCAAAGGTCTGTTCACCATATTTAACAAAATAGTGTCTACTAGCAACCGAGTAGATGACATTGTTAAAAGAGAAAAGCCAAGTCTTTTTGGTTTTCATATCCCTTTGTTCACTGCTGCACTGAACCACAGTGTATCAATCTCTATTTGACGAGATAAGAGTCCTACCTGCTCGTCTGAGAGTTAGGCCACGCTAAAACTCACTGGTCTCGGGACTCTCCTGTTTCTGAAGCAGACGGTTTCCAGATCATGACAATTCATTACATAAGTCTACAACCCAGATTGGTCAGTCAAATATATAATAAGCACCCTCAAAAGAGTTCCTGTCTTCCTGGCCCTGTATATATTCTTTGAAAAGGGGCGGCGCCTTACAGGAGCTGTCTGATGTTACTCCAGTCCACACACATGATAGGTACTTTGGTGCTACAGTGCTCGTGAAATTTGTAGCCACAAGTCTGACATCGAAAGCCATTTAGCAGGAACTTCTGACAGATGTCACAGAAGGCAAGCTTCAGGAAGGTCTTCCGAGCCTAAAGCAGGAACACAGGTATGAATTATGCTGAATAAATGAAAGATGACAAAAGAAAAAATTTCCTTTTTGGCCCCAAGAGATCTTATAGAATAAACAGTCATACTTCCAACATTTATAAAATCCATGCCTAGAGATTAAGGTATATCTGCAACTAATGAAACCTAAATTGCCTTACTGTGAACAGTGACACAGCTAGAGCTTCCAGAAGCCACAATATATATGCTTATCATTTCTGAGGAAGTCCTATGATGCCAGCCAAAGCACCCAGCACACCTCAAAGTGAGAAGAGATCTGCAACTTACAAAGTTGTGTGTTGTGAGGGGAACATGATCCAGGAAGTCTACTTGGAGTTCTTCTCCAATCAGCGAGGCAGCGTCAGTATTCCAATCTAAACGTGCTTTTTTACTAAAGGTTTTTTTTAAAAAAAAAACATATTATGAAAGGGAAATGTCTGAATAAGTTAAACCACTTATCTCATGCTATATAAACATCAGACTTAATCCCATGCAGCACTAACTTACTTAATTCATAAAACAATCCTGTAAGTGGGCCTTATCATCCCAATTTTAAAAGGACAGAACTGGGGCCCTAACGAGGGGCTAAAGGCCTCACAGTGAGCGTAATCCAGCTCAGACAGACTCCGACACTGTGCTCTCAGGATAAAGTTTTCTTTAAACAATGAAATGTAATAACTCCATGATAATAACTTTGTGACATTAAAATCTGTAAAATCCTATAAAATGGGTTATACATATTGCTATAATAGAAAACATTAATCTTCACAAGCCTACTTCAATCTAGTAGATAAATAGAAAGGAATCACAATGAAATGCACTTTTCTATTACTAATGGGCTCAAATCTGTAAAGTCGTTTGCAGGGTCTGTAAACATAAGTTGATGGGAGTCTTAACTGTCTTAAAACTTACTTTGAGACCACTCTTTCTGTGCCTAAACAAGACAGAAAAACAGATACACTGAAGTAAAAATTAATGCCCAGCTCCTTTCTCATGTCTTGTCTAGTTAATCAGACCTGTCTCCACAAGGAAGAATATTCTCAGGTCCGGAGAGAACAATACATATATAGCATCATTCAAACTCCCCCTTCATCTGCCAGAAGCCTATTCCAGCCATTTTTCTGGTTACCCAACAGTAAATAACTCACTCCTTCATATAATTCTCCATACAAAGTCTGGAAAATTCCACACCCCAAAGTCCTGTTGTGCCCTAATAAAGCGAGAATGGGGCAGGCCCTGTTTTCTAACCAGTTTTCCAATGCTGCCATGGGACAGGAACCTAGGGCAGCTCCAAATCAGGGCAGCCCTGGACTGAGTGGACCAAGCCTCTCGCTGTGGTAGAATCTCTCTGGTCTTTAAAGAGCACCATAGACTGGCTTGGAGACCAAGTTGAGGCTATGCCTGGATAAGGCTGACATCTTTAAACATCTGCATTTCAACAATGGTATTAAGTCGGGGAATTTAGACTCACCCAGGTGAGGACATTCATTCCCTGGGCTACTCTCTCAAACCGGGGAGAGCTCCCTGAATCATGAAAGATGTATGCGGAATATCAATAACAGAACAAGCACTTTCCAAGAAGAAGATAAAGTTATTTCCCCACATTTGGGGGCAATAATAATGGATCATGAATGGCTCTGAATGGTTCTGATGCTATGAGCTACTCCTCCTAGCCTTTGAGGGGATGCCTCTCTCTTGTCACCACTATTAGGAACAAGATGAACTGTGGATCTCACTGGAAGCAAAAACTCTCCTGCATCCTTTAGCCCTGTGTCTGTCAACCTGCCGGGATTCCGTAAACATTAACTGAATAAAAATGGATGAGTCAATTACAACCACTTGAGGATAGCATTCTTTAACTCCAAACAAGAGTGCAAACACTTTCTGAGAACCCACTCTGTTCACTGCATTAGAATGAACACAAAAATCCTCGCTCTCAAGAAACATACTATTTGTTGTTACTGTTTCCATCTATGGAAACATTATCAACACCTAACATATTTTCCTTCAATGCACGTTCAAGCAACAGTCTCAAGTTCTTGTGTTTCATTTTTTCCAAATTGTCTCTTTATAAACAGGGTATACAAATACACAATATTCTATAGGAAGCAAGTGCTATTTTTTTTTAATGGAACAGTTATTGTTTCAAGCTAACAGATCCTTAACTGGCATGAAGGAGGACCTGACTGGCTTCTGAGTCCTTACCCTTTGTGTTCGTGGAGCAGTCTGAACACGGCACAGCATTCCGGCTGCAGGCCCCGCACCTTGAGTGCTTTCATAAGGCAATCATGCAAGCTCATTCCATTTCGCACATTGACCTACAAACAAACAACCACTTTTAGGACCAGCACAGGCGGCACCCCCCTCCTTGGAAAAGTGAGCACAGAGACAGACACACCAGTCCATAAGGGTCTATGCAGAAGATTTGTAACAACATTGCTTATAATGTTGAACACACACACAGATACACAGGTAACAACCAGAATGTCCAGCAATAGGCAAGTAGTTGAATAAAGTGTGGAATATTTGTACATGTCACATGAGGCCACTACCATATGACTTATAATGACCTGGAGGGAGGGGTGTCTGTGATATATTAATTGGGGGAAAATATTTTTCAGAATAATACAAAGAGTAATAAGCTTATTTAAAGGGTGGGGAACCTCTACATGTTTATGTATGTTGTATGAGTGTGAAAAGCCGCATACCTAAGACAGAGCGGGTGGAAGAGAGAAAACGCTCAGCTTTCCCTTTACACCTCTCTCATGTGCTGGACTTGCTGAAATGTGCATACAAGCATGACTGTCCACAGCAAGGAAAACGGGCCAATCTAATCTATAACAAGCATGAGTTTTTCTGACCAAAACTTTATTTCAACCTGTTTTCCACAGAACACCTTATCTTCCTAACAAATTCCCATCACACATGCTCTTCACACTAGCAAGGGAGGGCATGCAGGAAGAGGGAGGGCAGAGTGCCTGCCCTCCTGTCAGGACAAGCAACACTGCCAGTGTGAATGGCCAGGCAGCACATTCCCAGCAGCCCTGGCCACATCCATTCCCCCACAGGCCCCTGCACCCAGGCCTCAGAGCTGGGCAGGTACTCAGAGGCCTCATAGGAAATGTCAGTGCCCGGGAAGCTAAGAATGGCAGTTATAGGAATATTTCAACTAAGATCTCGAGAGTTTGATAAAAGCCCTGTACGTTTTGTTTTTAAAGCCAGTACAACTAGTCAAAAGTAAGGCCACTAGAGTCAGTATGGACAGTAAGGAGAGCAGAATGGAGATTTTTGATGCTTGCAAACCACTTGCAGTGGTGTTCCTCTGCTGCAGGAAAATGAGCCAGCCGACAGCAGTAACCCAGCCTCTTCCCAGAGGGAGGTGAGTGTATGTTTTTTATCTATTCTAAAGGTTTAAAATATTTTTAAACATTCATTCAAAATGTTCCACAAAGTTGGTTTTTAAAGTGTTCTTGAAGCAGTGATACCTTTAGAAAGATCCCACTAAGTTCCAGCTTTTCAGAAACAAAACAAGTAAACTGAGATGTACTGAATTACAAAGATAAGAAATCAAGAATGAGGGCAAGGAGTAATAAACACTCCCCACTATCAGACCCATAACCTACATTACACACTGGGCAGTAGTGCTTTGAAAACTGTAAACTGGCATCTGTGTTTTATCATTAATTTTCATTAAAAGTCACAGACTCCAAAAGCTAGATAGTTCTTTACATATCCTCGAATCCAGTGCAGCTCCCAAACTGGCTGCATTAGAATCATCTAAGAAGCTTGTGAAAATACAGATGCCAAGTCTCCCCGTTCCAACACACCCAAGGATTCTGATTGGGCTCATCTGAAGGAAGCCCAGGAATCTGTACATTCACCTGCTTGTCAGAGTAATGTTACTGGTAATTAACAGCCTCAGCTATGGTCCAACTCACCCAGGAATAAATAAGAGCAATTAGTTCAAGACACAGATTTACAATACAAATGACAAGAAAAAATTTAAAAACAAGCAACTGCTAATTACTATTTACACTATTTTTATTACTACTTTTTACTACTCATTACTATTACAAGCAACTATTATTTCTAGCATTATTTATATCAGATATACATCCTCTCTGTTATTCTCCTCCCTGCGTTTTAATTGGTTAGATCTGACAAATTTCTGGAGACCGCTAGGTGATGAGGATAGTCTGCAAGGGTCCCAGCACTGAAGCAACCTGGGATAATCAGAAACAGCTGCTGGCCAGCAAGAGCCTCCATCCTCCTTGAATGCTCCCTTGAAGCTGGGTGCCTGGTGAGAGAAGCTGGTTCTTCCAGAGACAAATGGTCCATCTCTGGTCAAAGAAATAGGAGAAACTAACTTTCTCTGCTAGAACCTTCTCATAAGCTGTAGGAGAAGCCAAGCCTCCAAACCACTGGTTCCCAACCATCAGCTGTGCTCAAATGAATGCTGTCGGGGATACACAGCTGTAAAAAAAAAAAAAAAAACTCAAATAATCATAGCTACCATTTTTCTTATTAATGAATTATCTACTATATTCAGCATGAGCCTCATTTCATAAAGATCAGAAAACAAGAGGCTCAAAATGTTATGTAACTTTTCTAGATGATGCAAGTAAGTAAAAGGTAATGAAGGATTTAAGCTGGTCCTGGTTGTCTTATTAAAGGCCGATACACTTCATCCTCATGCCAAAATCTTGCAGGCAAGCTGTGGCAGACGGTGGGGAAGGCGGCCGCAGACGCACCAGAAGCAGCAAGCACCCGGCACGGTCACATGTCCCACCTGAGCTCTCCATTCAAGGTTAGAAAGATTAATGAGAAAGAGGGTGAAAACCACTGTGTAACTAGAAGACCACTAATGAAATGTAAGGGGATCATTACTATTTCTTTTGCTGGCCATTAAACTTGCACTTGTAAGAAGGGGAACAAAAATCAATTTGCCCAAATTTAAACTTTAAATGCCTTTTGAGTTTTGCCTTCAGTTCAAAATGTACCTAAATATACAGCGCCATAACTGGGAGCTTCCTTAGGTTCACAGAAGAAATACACAGGAATTTATTAGTAAAACTGGGAGAGTTAAGAGTTGTTAGAAAGTGACAGAACTTTGGATTGGACTTCCCAATCTTGGACTGGGACCTCGGAATCTTGCCTTACCTAGGTACACAGAAAAAAACACAATACTGATTTCACACAAAGAACAAAGGGTGGTTAAGGAGGAGGTGTGGAAGTTTTGAACTAAGGTTTTCTTAAATGTCCCACCACACAAAATTAGAACTTCACTTTTCTGTTTCAGCCAAGTGGGTTTTTTTTTTCACCAGGATAGTAGGAAAATTTTCTGAGCAGTAATTTCTTAGAAAAATTGGAGTCTTGTGTCAGAAAACCAAGCAGCAGTGCCCTGCCATGGTGCCAATATGAATCTGTTGCTGACACTACAAAAATAAACCCTGCAGAAACAACTGGCTGGTGCCAGGGACTGGGAACAGGGAAGGCACTGGGATTTCTAAACCACCTCTAGCTTTGCCTGGGGCCTATGAAATTCACCAAAATAATTTTATTTCCTCCTATACCACTTGATTGTAACATCCAAAAAACTTTATGTGAACATTTTGTTTTAATGTTCAGAAGAAAGTAATTTTTCAAAATGAGCTGGAAAGGTCCAAGGGAGCTTTTTAAAGGTAAGTCTCTGAAATACACCCCCATAAGAATGTATTTTTTGTTATAAAAGAAGACAATTCTTAGCAAGAGTAATAACAGAAAGGAAGGCTAAGGGGTGGAAGAAAAGGCAGAGGATGTGGAAGGACACAGCAATATATAACAGTAAAACCTGCAGGTGGAAAGTCAATTAAAAAGACCCTAAGGCAAAAATATTTTATAATAAAAAAACAAAAAAATAAAAAGACCCTAAGGGACAGTAAAGATTTTCCCTACGTATAAGGTAGGCAACACGATCTGTATATGTTTTCTATAGGCAGGCAGACAGCTAAATTTTTTGAGAGGAATGTTCAACATACCACTGTTCTTTGCTTGTTTGGCAAGAAAACACGGATAGTGTTGCTTGTCTTTGAAGAGTCTGTAAGTTTGCCATCATCTGATGCCCGGCGCTGGAAGCCGAACTGCTGAGCTATTGTGGGGGAGACGCAGCTGGGGCCATCGAACACTGTGTCTCTCACTCCAAAGCCGTTGCTGATGGTCCTCCAGGCCCCCTGTATGTGCTCCATTGATGCAGCTCACACAACACTTAAACCTGGTAAAAAGACAAGTAACTGTAATTGTAGAACAAAGGCAAAAAACTCAGCAACACAATATCGAATAAATGTGAAAATACTGGCCTGTGGGCTTTCTTAAAGTGATACCCTCTACTTGAATAAATTAGAAAACTTCTATATTAGTATATTTCAATAAAATATTTTATAGACAACTCAAAAATAAGCAAAATGGGGAGATTAAAAGACTCATCAAGGGCTATACCATCAGTTAAAAACCAACCTGAAACACGAGCCCAGGTCTCCTGACTTCTAGTCTAATTCTTCTTCAGTTGCATTTCTCTTCTGCTTTATTACTTATTAAGCATGAGCAATGAGCTTTGAGTATGACTAGTTCATTAGTACTATGAGAAACAAAAAAAAAAAAAGGCATAAGCCCTTACTTTCTGCCTTAAAGGAAAAGGAATCAATATTTCTGGGATATGTGTTAGACACTTTACATATAAATTATCTCATTTAATTTGTATAAGGACCGCAAAGATTTTAAATCCCTTCCTCCATCTACCCTTTATTTTTTAAACAAGGCACAGAAAAATTACACTACTTGCCCAAGAACACCCAGGTGAAAGGTAAAATAACCAGATGCTGTATCTCTTTAAATTTAAAGTCCATGAACTTCCCATCATAATGTTCAGAGTTCAGTTTTGGTTCAGAAACAAAGCTTATAAACAGAAGCAAGCAGAAACAGTCACCTAACCAAAAATAACCTAGTGTTTTAATCTGTCAGCAAGAAAACTGCAACAAGTACGCACAGTCTCACGATGACAGTAAGTCGGTGAGGTGGTGAGGCCACGCAATGCCCTGGCATGGCTGCAAGTCAGCAAACACACACAAGTGAGAGGTTTGTGGGAAAAGGGAATCCCATCCTTCTTAAGCCTTCCTATTTAAAAAAATTTTGTCCAGCAATTTTCTAGGTGCCTACTATTATGAGACAGTATATATTGTATACATCCCACTTATATTATCCAACCTACTCCTCAAGGAGGTAAAGAAATAAATTAAAAATTGTTTGAAATTAAAGACTTTAATTCAAACCTCTCATTTTCAAACAGAAGCTTCTGTTTGAATACCCACTATGTGCTAAGCTCTTTCTCACATCATACACATGCCTGAATCAAGGGGGGACAATAGATATTAACAATTCTTAGCTGACAGTTGAGCAAACCAGAGAGGTTTAGAGATTCAAGATCACAGCATGGATCACAGCATGGTGTACTCTCTCACAGTCTTGGCACAACCTTTTGGAGAACATGGTAGTAACTACTAAAATTCTGAAATGTTCTTGAAGATTGATTTAGTAGTTCAACTCCACTCTAGGAACTTATCCTACAGAAGTATAAGGTAAGTATATAAAGATGTATGAACAAGCATCTTCATTACAGCATTGTCCACATAGCCTTGAAAAATTGGGGGAACAAAACAAATATCTAACAATGATCAAACAAATCATGTTAATATCCATGTACTAAATGAAGTAGATCTGATGAAAGAAAAAATGAAAAATATAACTTGAACCTGTTTTATATTAATGTAGAAAGAGGGCAGAAAATCTAGAATCATAAAGAGGTTAAGAAAATCTGGAAGAAATTACTAACAGTGATCATGAACAATTTTTCCTTTTTATATATTATCTATTTACTTTTTGCTTTGTATTTTTCTATTATTCTATAAATTTGTATGAGCCTATTTTATTTGTATAAGGGGGGGGAGCAGGACAAACTCCCACAGCCTTAGTAGCAGGGCCACGACACACTGCCCTCCCCCGTCTGGCATCTAAACCTGAGTCCCGACACACTCCTAACTCTCTCCCCCTTGGTAACCATGAGGTCACTTCTTACAGGCACCTCCAGCTCCTCTTTTCTCTAGATCTTTTTTCCCCCTAAAGAGGAAGAGGGGAAGGATTTCAAAAGCCAGATGAGAGAAACAGAGAAGCCTCATCTGATGTGGCTCCTATGACCTATAAACACAGAGCAGCCAAAGCAATCCTAAAAATGCAAGTCATCATGTCCCTCCCCTGTTTAAGACTGGGAATAAAAGCTAAACTCCTTGTTTCTGAACATGCCAGCTTCACACCTCATGCCAGACTTCAGGACTTTTGAACTTCTCGTTCCTTTCTCTTGGAAGGCTCAAACCTCCAGAAACAAGCAAGCGGGCCTTTTCACATCATTCAGGTTACTTTCCCCAGCCACACTAGCCAAAAGACTTGGGTCCCCTCCCCCCCATCAAAATAACCCTTTCTTATTTTCTTCATTGCATTTACTACTATGTTACACTGTTCACAGATTCTGGTCAGTAACCCCCCACCCTCCTCCTGCTTCAGGAGGGCAGGACTACACCAAATCTTGCTCACTGCTATATTCTTAGTTCCTGATATGATACTTGGAACATGAAGGCACTCAAATATTTATTAAATGAATTAAGTTAGGAATCAGAATAATGCTGCAAAAAATATAAATTTTTTATAGAAGAGAACTGTTGAGAACTAGTAAATGTGAATTCAATCTCCACTTGTTAGCACACTTTTAAAAAAACGCCCATCATTCAGCAAAAGACAAACTACAATAAATTACATTCTGTACTTAATGGAGAGTGTAGTAGGGGGGGTACAAGGGGGATATTGTATTATAATCTATTGGCTAAAGAACTCACAAGACTCAAATGTGCTCTAAGTCCAAGAACACGGTTATTTTATTGTGAATTCTAAGTCTTATAGGCACTTAGAAAATAAAAGTGCTGGCCCTTAGTAGAGAACATACTACAATAATTGTTACTAAAAAGTGAGAAAATAAAAGCAAACTCACTTTAATTCTCAAGTTACAGATTATTTATCACCATAATTTTTATTTTTCCATATCTACATCTAGGCCACTTACAGGCTAAGAAGCATACCAAGTCAGTGCTTCCTAACCTTTGTCATGTCACTCATACAAAATGATGGACAACATTTGTGAGACAGAATGAGGTAAACAGAAGTCCAAAAAAGGCCAAGAGCTCTACTAGTTGCCCCAGGAATGATAGGTACACCTCTAACTTGTTCATTTTAGGAAGCACTATGCTAACATATTCCTTAATCAATTTACTAAAAGACACACATCTGAACACAAAAAAGAAGCATCTTCTAAAACCCGTACAGTAGCATATTAGCAAAATGAGTTCAAAAATACATCAAAAAGATCATCCATCACAACCAAGTGGGATTTATTCCAGTGATGCAATGATTGTATAATATTCATAAAACAATCATATCATATACAACATTAACAAAAAGAGGATAAAAACTACAATATCATTTCAATAGATGATGAAAAATCATTTGACAAAAGTCACCATCCACTCATGATAAAAACTTTCAACAAAATGGGTATAGAGGGTATGTTCCTCAACATAATAAAGGCCATATACAACAAAAAGTTAACATCATTACTTAATGGTGAAAAGCTGAAAACTTTTCCTCTAAGATCAGGAACAAAACAAGGATGTCCACTCTCACCACTCTTATTCAACAGAGTACTGGAGTCCTAGCCATGGCAATCAGAAATCAAAGAGAAAAAAGGCATCCAAATTGGTAAGAAGGAAGTTATGCTGTCACTATGTGCAGATTACATAATATTGTACATAGAAAACCCTAAAGACTCCACCAAAAAACTATTAGAATAATTGAATTCAGCAAAGTTGCAGGATACACAATTAATACACAGAAATCTCTTGCATTCCTATACACTACCAACAAACCAGCCGAAAGAGAAATGAGAAAACAACTCCATTTACAGTTGCATCAAAAAGAATAAAATGCCAAGAATAAACCTAACCAAGGAGGTGAAAGACCTGTGTTCTGAAAACTGTAAGACACTACTGAGAGAAATTAAAGAAGACACCAATAAATGGAAATCTATCCCATGCTCATGGATAGGAAGAATTAACATTGTCAAAATGGCCATCCAGCCCAAAGCAATTTACAGATTCAATGGAATCCCTATCAAAATACCAACAGCATTTTTCAATGAACTAGCACAAATAGTTCTAAAATTCATATGGGACCACAAAAGACCCCCAACAGCCAAAGCAAGCCTGAGAAAGAAGAACAAAGCTGGAGGGGATTATGCTCCCTAACTTCAAGCTATAATACAAAGCTACAATAATCAGTATGGTACTGGCAATTGAACAGATCCACAGATTTACAGAACAGAATAGAGCCCTCAGATAAAAACCCACACATACATGGTCAATTAATATGTGATAAAGGAGTCATGAATATACAAAGGGGAAAAGACAGCCTCATCAACAACTGGTGTTGGCAAAACTGGACAGCTACATGCAAGAGAATGAAACTAGAAGACTGTCCACCTCCATACACAAAAGTAAACTCAAAATGGATCAAAGACCTGAATGCAAGTCATGAAACCATAAAACTCTTAGAAGAAAACATACTAAAAAAAATCTCTACATAAGTATGAGCAATTTTTTTTCCTGGACACATCTCAGACAAGAGAAACAAAATACAAAGTGAACAAGTGGGACTACATCAAACTAAAAAGCCTCTGTACAGCAAAGGACTCCATCAGCAGGAAAAGGCACCCTACAGTATGGGAGAATATATATGTAAACAATTCATCCAATAAGGGGTTAACATCCAAAATATATAAAGAACTCACATGCCTCAACACCCAAAACACAAACAACCCTATTAAAAATGGGCGGAGGATATGAACAGACAATTCTCCAAAGAAATTCAGATGGCCAACAGACTACATGAAAAGATGCTCCACATTGCTAATTATCAGGGAAATGTAAATTAAAACCACAATGAGATATCATCACCTCACACCAGTCAGAATGGCCAACATCAAAAAAAACAAGAATCAACAAATGCTGGCAAGAATGAGGAGAAAGGGGAACCCTCCAACACTGTTGGTGGGAATGTAAATTAGTTCAACCACTGTAGAAAGCAACATGGAGGCTCCTCAAAAAACTAAAAATAGAT